TCTACATTCTGACACAGCTCTGACCTTTCCTTCCACCGGCCAAAATCCAAGACCTGGCCGCGCATTCCGAAATGACCGTCTCTCCTCGTCTTCTCTCCCCCCGCGCCCCCTGACCGCCAATCGCAGTACAAATTGTTCCTGACAGGGAAGTGGAGATCAAACTCAAGCGAAGCTTCCGAACTCAAGGAAGGAGACGCCAGGTTCGCTAAAGACTTCGAAAGAGGGGCGTCTTCGAGACTCTGCCTCTGAGGACCCTGCTCATAAAGACCTCATTCACGCTGCCCTCGAGAACGGTGGGCACAGAAAGACGATCGTCGAGGAAGAGAGGAAGAAGAGAAGAGAGAGCGAGAGGCGGAAAAAGGACCCAGGAAGGGAGGCGAGCCCAATCGAGGAAGGTGGGTGACCAGAGGGATTTTTTTTTTTTTTTTAATGATAAGTTGGTGATGAACTTGTGAAAACTGTGATAAATATATATAATATATATATATATATATTCAACGTTTATAGATTACTATATATATATATAAATATATATATTATATGTGTGTGTGTGGTGTGTGTGTGTGTGTGTGTGTGTGTGTGTGTGTGTGTGGTGTGTGCGCGCGCCGCGTGCGTCCTCTCCCTCCCTCTTCTTTCTCCCTTCTTCCCTTACTCCTCTCGTCCCTCCCTCCTCCCTCCGCTTACTCTCTCTCTTCTTCCATCTATTCTCTGTCTCTTCTCCTCCCTCCTCAGTTTACTTTCTCTCCTCTCTCTTCCATCCTTCTCTTCCAAAACTATCAATTCACGATTTATCTCTCAGTTTTGTTTACACAACAGCCCGCAGAAGTAACTCGTTTATTGACCTACCCCCCTCTACCTCTCCCCTCCCCATTCCCCACTCCACCCCTACCTCAATCCAACGACAGTTTTGTAAACAGTTATAAAATTCGGCTAAAACTTGCGCCACGCACGCCTTCCAATACGCCTTTATTTGGCCAGTATAGAGAGGCGAATTAATACCGTATCAAATTGCATTTTTCCGAAATTAAATTTATTTAATCGTTGTTGTGATTTGGTTTCGTGTCCCACACAATTCCTGAGGGTTTTAAGTGCTCGCGCCCTCTATAGGTCACCTTCGTGTGAGAGAGAGAGAGAAGAGAGAGAGAGAGAGAGAGAGAGAGAGAGAGAGAGAGAGAGGAGAGAGAGACGAGAGAAGAGAGAGAGAGAGAGAGAGGAGAAAGAGGAAGGGAGAGGGGGAAGAGAGAGAGAAGGGGGGAGAGAAGAGAGAGAGAGAGTGGAGGGAGGGAAAAGAGGAAAGAGAGAGAGGGGAAAAGAGAGAAAGGAGAGAGTGAGAGAGAGAGAGAGAGAGAGAGAGAGATGAGAGAGAGAGAGAGAGAGAGAGAGAGAGAGAGAGAGAGAGAGGAGAGAGAGAGAGAGAGAGAGAGAAAGGAGAGAGAGGGAAAAGAAAGTGAGAGAAAGTGAGAGAGAAAGGGAGGAGAGAAAGTGAGAGAGGTTGAGAGAGGGAAAGGGAGAGAAAGTGAGAGAGGAGAGAAGGAGAGGAGAGGTAAAGAGGGAAGGAGAGAAGAGAGAGAGAGAGAGAGAGAGAGAGAGAGAGAGAGAGAGAGAGAGAGAGAGAGAGAGGAGAGAGATTGAGAGAGAAATTCTACTTTAGTTACTAGTCAAATATTTACCGTTTTCTGTTAGACTTTATAGTCAAAGAAAATGAATACTAATATAATTTGAAGGGTAACTTATTTGACTCTGATGAAGTGCTAAATTTATGTCTTCCACGAATAAAGAAACCCAAAAGTAAACCTACTATTTTGATGAGAAGTAGAGATGTGTTTGTGTTTAGCTATCCCATCCACGTCCTTACAATTATCGTAAGTCATCCGTACCTTTATCTCCACATGTATTTTCTTTCTCTTCATCTACACATACCTTCCACCCTTCCAGACGAAGAAGAAAAAGAAGAAATTCGCGAAGATGGCACAAATATAGAGGAGATGCTCGACCTGTATGGCGACATCATGAGCCGAGAAGATTTGCTGAAACTAGACTCACAGCCTAACCCTTTTAACTATAGCGGCCGTGTTTCCCAGACTCAGCGTATCGTCTGTAAGGTAAACTCATCAGTCTGTTTGTATATAGGAATGGGTGAATGAATATAAAACTTACTCTTTCGTGTTGATACTATGGTAGGAAAACCCACAAAGTACAATTTATATTTCTTTAATAAATCTAGTGTATGCATTGTGAGTTATACTATAGTGATGGATAGTAATCAGCAGGAACAACGAAGGGAAGGGCAAGAAAACACACGAATATGCCGAAGGCCTTAGACATATTCGTGCGTTTTCTTGCCTTTCCCTTCGTTGTTCCTGTTGCAATCTGTTCATCATGAATTCCACACATGGATAGTAATGTAAATAAATGATTATTAGCAAATCTTCAGAGACTATAACTAATGGATTACGAATAGAAAAAATAATTATCAAATCCTCAGACTCCATAACTAATG